TCTTTCCCTCCCCTTCCAAGCCTACTGGGATTCAGACACGAGGATCTTCCATGGCGACCTAAGTCCATCTCTTCCCTAACGCCTTACTTTCCACACCGTAGTTAGATTAAATTTTCACACTCTCACTCCATTCTCAACACATGAGTTTTTGGCATAGCAGTGTTGATACAAATATAATAAACGGAGTTCAACCTCACTAGCAATCTACTAAATATAAAGTAAGATCACATTGGAATAGCACTTGAAGTTGTTGGCCTAGCAGAACATCTGACAGTCCTAGTTGCTGGCATGGGTATAAAGCAAGGAAGAAACTTCGTGCTCTCATGGCGAGAGTATTAACTGGCACGACTATTTACTATTAGAAGTTGAAGATGTACCTCCTGTGAGACGCTGGCTCCTAAGTGGATGGCCTACAGGAACTCAGAACTGTGTGTTCGGAATCATTACATTTGAGACGGTCCTCGTGCCTTTCTTTAGTAGAATGGATAAACAAAGTGTGATTAATTTGTACACTGGAATACTATAAGGTTGTCTGGAAAGTCATGACATACTTTTCTCTGATTTCTTTTTTTAAAAGATTGGTTATTTTAATTTTATTGATTATTACTATTTTTCAATTTGACCAGAAAGAGAGAGAGGGAAAGTTAGAAAGCAAGCCACCAGGCCTGAGACTCGAACTGTGGTTGGCCGTGTGGGAATCCAGCACCACAGTCACCACGCCACCTGCCAGCCCCCTTTCTATGTTTTTCTGTGCAAAAATCGGTCATGACTTTTCCGATGACCCAAAATACAGTGAAGGAAAATGAATAGACCTGCAGCAACAAACAGCATTTCTAGGTTATAAAATCAGAGGGTGATGGACTGGACGTGGTGTCCTTGTCTAATGTGAAGGACGTCGAGGCCAGCCGTTGTCCAAACCAGGAATCGGGATCATCCTCGCTGCCTGTCTTCTCTCGCCTGTGTTTAGTCTCTCACCAGGTTTTGCCAACACGACCTCTTATAACACACTTTAAAAAAACTTAATTTTTTTTTTAAACAGGGCACATGTTTTCTCCAGAAAGAGAGGGAGAGAGAGAGAGGGAGGGAGGGAGAGAAGTACCTCCTGGGAGGATGACCATGCCGTAATCCCTTCGTCATTCTCCACTCAGGATTTGGGGCATACATGCCTAATGTGTTTTTCCGCCTGCTGGCTCTGGCCTCAGACGGCACAGGTGGCCTTGTGGGATCCAGCTGCCTTAACCACCATGCTACGTGCTGGTCCTTACCTCGCTTTTTAAATTATTTTTATTTTGATGCTTTTATTGTGGTAAATATTAAAGAACATAACATTTACCATTATAACTACTTTTAAGTGTGTGGCTTTGTTCCACTAAGTACATTGATACTGTTCAACCATTAACCACATCCATCTCCAGAATTAATGTATCTTCCTCAGCTAAGCCCCTGTACCCATTAAAGAATAACTCCACATTCCCACTCTTTCTTCACCTTTTTTTTTTAAGAGTTTTTTGTTTGTTTGTTTGTTTGGTTGTTTTTTGGCTGTAGGGCGTGTGCACTCACCAGAAAGACAGAACATGAGAAATCATCACCCCCCTCCCCCGGGGGGTATGGCCACGCCACAATCCCTTCTCCTCCATTCTCCTCTCAGGATTTTGGGCACACGTGCCTACCCGCCCAGCTTGAATTTAAGCCACGAGGTGCAGGACTCGAATCGTGCTCGACGACATGGGAGTCCAGCGACATAGCCTTTCCGCTAACTGCTGGTCCCCCACCATTCTGCTTTCTGTCTCTGAATTCCCCGACTCTTTAGTACTCATAAGTAAGATCATACATTATTGTCCTTCTGTGGTTGGTGTATTTTATTAGCATATTGTCTTCAGGGTTCCTCTGTCTCGCAGCATGAGCCAGAATTTTATTACATTTAATATACACACCACAGTTCGTTTGCATCCGTCACTGGGAATGTAGGCTGCCTGCATTTCATTGTTGGAGGGTCGCCATACAGTTTTCTGTGGCACCTGACCATCTTACCTTCTCACTAGCCACGTGCGAGGGATCTGTTTTCTCCATACCCTCGCCAACGCCTGGCATTCTCTGTGTTTTTTTAAAGTTTCTTTTGTGAGAGAGACAAACCCTCACGAGCACCTGGCTATGTGGTGGTCCCCTCCTTCCAGCTGTCTAGCTCGTCAGGGACTTGGGCACGTGGCCCCTGCGTGCTTCAGGTCCACCCAGGAGCTGAACTTGGGACTGGCCCTGTGCCTTCCAGCACGGGAGCGCGGAATGCCGCTGCTCGCACCACCACCGAGGCCGCACCTGGCTTCCTTGTTCGTTTTTTGCTTGTTTTGAGAGTAGCCATTCTAAAGGGTTTGCGATAATATACGTCTCTTTTTGGTTTAGATTTGTGCTTCTCTGATGACCCCCTGGTATTGAGTATATTTTCACATAGTTTTCACATGCAGTCACATGTGTTTCACATTTGTACGTCTTTAGAGCAATGTCTACTCAAATTCTGTGCCCGTTTAAAAACTTTATTTTAATTTGCATTTAATCACATGTGTCCTTACAGTGTATAGCGTTGCTTTTTCCAGCATGAATACCATGCACATCAGTCAAGACAAAGGCATTACTATATGCATTATCATCTGTAAATAGCTTTTCGTTTTTTTGTCAATTAAGAATACTTTTTTTTTCTCCTCCTGATCCCCTGTTACCTACCCCTGTATTACCCCACCCTTACTATCTCTAGTCCCCGTCATTGCCCTCAGCCCACTTTTGAATTAGGTTATTTTGCTGTTGTTGAATGATATGTTCTTGACATATTTTGGATATCAGTCCCTTACCAGATACATGAGTTGTAAATATTTTCTCCCAATCCATGTCTTTCACTTTGTTGAAACTGGCATAATTTTACAATTTTGATAAACTCCAGTTTATCTACTTCTGTTGCTTGAGATTTGGCGTTGTGTCTAAGAACTCATTGCCAAATCCAGTGTCATAAAGCTTTTATCTTAAGTTTTCTTCTGAGAGTTTTATAGCTTTGGGGCTTATAATGTTTTTCATTTATTATTATAGATAGCATTTATTATTGCATATTGTAATGACCACTTTTGATCCTATCATATAGTAGGAACCGAAGTCCATGTTGTGCTTTAATTGAAATTGTGTGCAAAAGGAGCTAAAATTATTTCTTTCATGTTCCAGCTACTCTTTCACATTTAAGTTACTCTTTCTTTTTAGTTGTCAATTTATTTATTTATAATTTAATTTAATTTAATTTAATTTAATTTAATTTATTAGAGAGATTTTTGCTACAGGGCATGTGTGCTTGCCAGAGGGGAGAGGGAGACTGAGAGACAGAAAGTGAGAAATCACTTCCCAGGGGGGATGGCCATGCTGCAATCCCTTCTCCTTTTAGAATCTTGGGCACGCACACACATGCACCCAGCATGAGTTTTATGCTGCCAGGTCCAGGACTCGAACCATGGTCAACTATGTGGGAGTGCAGCGATGTAATCCTTACTCCTTCTGCGGGTCCCCGACCTGATCTTTATTAAATTCTGGATTTAATCTCTAAATAATTTAAAGCTGCTTAAGAGTTTTTAGTATGTCTTTAGAATGTAAAAATCTCATCATTAAACCTAAGTAATATATTGTACATAATTGGTCAAGCCTTTATTTTATTTTAGTATTTTAAGGAATAGGTTTGTTCACTAGTCAAAACTCCTTGTACTTGTTGAGTGCTTAGTAATGTTCCAGACTATTCTAAGTACAGACAGCTCTCTCTATCTGCAGATTTTGCCTGAGTCTTTATTTAACATGTACAGAGTTTGGGAGGGGGTCATTATTTCTTAAATGTTCCAGTGTAACAACAGATGTTACCTAGCATTAACACTGCAGGAGGTGTTGTAAGTGATTTACAGATGATCTGAAGTATGTGGGAGTGTGCACAAGTTATCTGGAAATATCATGCAGTTTTATGGGAGAGATTCCATGTAAGGGGTTTTGGTGTTTATGATGGTTGGGAGAGTTCTGCAACCAATCCCCCGCAGATACCAAGGGATTGCTTTGTATTATTAATTCACTTACTCCTTGACAACAGCCTTACTAGCTGGGCACTGTCATCGCTCAGTTTTACAGAGGAAGTCGGCATGGAGGTGGGAAGTAGCCGTGCCCAGGTTCAGCTAGCTAACGGCTGAGCTGAGCGCTCTGAGTGTGCTTTTCCTCCTGGAATGCACTTTAAAGTGTTCCTTTTCTGTGGTTACAAAAGGCAGAATAGGCCCAGCTGCTGTGGCACAGAATAATACAGTGCCATGCAGGGATGGGGACACATGACCAAATACAGGTTTGGAGGTCTGGGTCAGGTGAGAACACCTGGGGTGCATGCATGCACCCCCTAAGATCCCGAGGAGCCAGAAGGCTGGGGAACAGGGATTGTGGTGTGAAGAAATATTTCAAGGGTGTGTGTGTGCATGCGTGTGATTCGGGAACAGGGATTGTGGTGTGAAGAAATATTTTGAGGGTGTGTGTGTGCGTGCGTGTGATTTTCACCTCTAGACACAAAGAACAGAACAGGGCCAGGTGATACCTATGAGAGGTCCTGGGCAGTGTCATGGGACTTTTCCGTGTATAGCAGGTGTACACGGTGTGCCCACAATCCAGGCTGCTCATCCTAGGGTGGATCGTGACATGAGGACCCTGCTGGGGCTGCAGTGTCTCTGTCCCTGTCTCTCTCATAAAATTAATTACAAATAAAACCAAAACAAATGGAACTTTACAGAAAATTGTTATAAGGCACGTGCTCTCACTAGAGAGAGACAGAGAGAAAGAAAGACAGTGAGAAAGCACTCCTTGGAGGGATGGCCCTGCCAGTCTCCTCCCCTCCAGTTGCTGCCTCCAGGACTTGAACCAGACCGTTGGCCACGGGCGATCCAGCGCCTTAACTACCGTGCTACTTAGCTGATCCTGAAACAACATTTTGAAGTTCCCAAATACTTGCCAGTTTAGGAACATCAGTTGCATTTTTTATTTCTTCTTAAAATATAGAGCCACTTTGCAGAGTGCTCTGAAATAGAAAGCAAGAGAGGAGTTAGAAATGGTTTATAGGGGCCGGCAGGTGACATGGTGGTTAAAGATGCCGGATTCCCACATGGCTAACTGCGGTTCAAGTCCCGGACCTTAAACTCATGCCAGGCATGTGTGCATGCATGCCCCATATCCCAAGAGGATAATGGAGATGGGAATGCGGCATGGCCATCCCTGCTGGGGGTTGATTTCTCACTTTCTGTCTCTGTCTCTCCTGTAATCACATGCGCCCTATAGCAAAAATCTCTCTGAAAAAAAACAAAAGTGAATGAGTGAATCTGTTTAGTGCCACCTAGAATGGATTAGAGCAGGGAAGAAAATCAGAGGACTTGATCTTGTGCGAGGATGGCAAAGAATGGAGTGAGGGACCCATTAAGCTGTGCTTAGTGAAGACGTTCAGCGAAAAGAAGCCATCGTGCTGTGTCTTCCTTATATAAACAATGCTGACCGCTTCACATTACTCTCCCACCCCGTTTTATAATTCCTGTGTCTCTAATTCCTTGTGTCGTTTCCTATTTCAGACTTCGGGGTCAGTGCCTTTTTGGCGACGGGTGGTGATATTACCCGGAATAAAGTGAGGAAGACCTTCGTTGGCACTCCTTGCTGGATGGCACCTGAGGTCATGGAGCAGGTACTGTGTCTTCCGTCGTACTAAAATGGTTCGGGCTTCATCATGAAATCAGAAGGAAACTTAGTAGTGTTTGCTTCCTTTTGGTCTAGCAGCTTAGCTTGGGGAAATACATCTGTGTTTCTCGGTAAGGCTGTAGTCCACCCTTAAAAAAAATAAGAATAAAAATATCCTCTAGAACTTTACAAAGGACATAGGAAACTCAGGATTTATACCCAAGACACTCTAAGGAATGATACAGTCAAGATTGTTTTAATACCTCCCTCAGGAGTGATTGTGTAAGCTTATCTTTAACCTGTAATCTTGTTGCTGGTTTCCAGAAGGATTCTTATTCCTTATCTCACCCATCCTCTGGTGGCAACTATTGGCCGTTCCAACTTGGTTCCCTTCCTCAGTTGCCAGAGCGCCATCTCCTCAGTCCTCTGCCGACCGGGGCGTTTCTCTGACTGCTTCTCTAGCTCTCCTTCAACTCCGTTTCCCAGGACCTGGTTCTGGAGCTCTTCTCTTCGCTAACTGGACATAGTCACTAGATGTTCCCATCCGTGCTTCCATTCTTTAGTGATTAATAAATTGTATCCAGTCCAGTCTTGATTTCTAAACCTCCAGATAGTTCCACCCCTGTGGATGCTTTATGTAAATATCTTTGGAGGTATATTAAACTCAGTATGTTAAAAACAGAACGAACTCTCTCCTCCGTTTTAGCCACCTGTATTCATCCTGTTGGTCAGGGTTATGGGGACGACTGAACACCAGACAGATGAGGTTGAGGGTAGTTGACTAGTCACATACACACGGCCAGAGGAGGAGGGTGTTCTCTGCTGTGTGAGGCCACGTGGGGTTATATACGTGGGAACAGAAAAAACCAAGCAGGGGCCATGGGAGACAACCTTTGGGTTCCACGGGATTGAGATGCCCCTTGGTTTTCTTGGATGTGATTGGCTGGCAGGGAGCCGAAACCTACTCAGGGACAAGCAGTAACTGTTCCTAGTCCTTTTGATGAGGAGGGTTGTTGGGCTAGCGGGGATTGTCCCACAGCAGGGTGGGGAGGAGGACTTGTACTCTGTCAGGAGAGGCCCTGCTGTTTTACCAGACAGCAAGGCAGACCACACTGCCTTGACCACACTTGACGGTAGAGCTTGTCCCGCACACTCCCAAAAGCCATTTCTCCTCCTCTGTTTCTTGGAATAGAAAATTAAAATTTATAACCATCTAATGTACCAATGACAGTATAAAAGATAAATTTGGCAACATATTCTCACCAGTGACTAAAAATACTCATGGTCTTTGTAACTTTTATTCATTAGAGAAATTAAGGTGATAAAATAATACAATGTAGAACCTTTGGAAAACAAAAGACTTACCCCCCCCCATTGTAAAACATTTTGTTCTATTTTTTTTCTAGTGTTTTTTAAAAAGACTGTGGGTAATGGTGTCAGAACTTAGGAACAGTTTTGTAATTTTTTCTCTGTTGGTGTTTTATCACAGTGGTTTTCCATATTTCGTGTAGAGTTCAGAAACATGCTCGGGACCAGCAGGTGGTGTGGTGGTTAAGGTGCTGGACACTCCATTCTTTAGTGATTAATAAATTGTATCCAGTCCAGTCTTGATTTCTAAACCTCCAGATAGTTCCACCCCTGTGGATGCTTTATGTAAATATCTTTGGAGGTATATTAAACTCAGTATGTTAAAAACAGAACGAACTCTCTCCTCCGTTTTAGCCACCTGTATTCATCCTGTTGGTCAGGGTTATGGGGACGACTGAACACCAGACAGATGAGGTTGAGGGTAGTTGACTAGTCACATACACACGGCCAGAGGAGGAGGGTGTTCTCTGCTGTGTGAGGCCACGTGGGGTTATATACGTGGGAACAGAAAAAACCAAGCAGGGGCCATGGGAGACAACCTTTGGGTTCCACGGGATTGAGATGCCCCTTGGTTTTCTTGGATGTGATTGGCTGGCAGGGAGCCGAAACCTACTCAGGGACAAGCAGTAACTGTTCCTAGTCCTTTTGATGAGGAGGGTTGTTGGGCTAGCGGGGATTGTCCCACAGCAGGGTGGGGAGGAGGACTTGTACTCTGTCAGGAGAGGCCCTGCTGTTTTACCAGACAGCAAGGCAGACCACACTGCCTTGACCACACTTGACGGTAGAGCTTGTCCCGCACACTCCCAAAAGCCATTTCTCCTCCTCTGTTTCTTGGAATAGAAAATTAAAATTTATAACCATCTAATGTACCAATGACAGTATAAAAGATAAATTTGGCAACATATTCTCACCAGTGACTAAAAATACTCATGGTCTTTGTAACTTTTATTCATTAGAGAAATTAAGGTGATAAAATAATACAATGTAGAACCTTTGGAAAACAAAAGACTTACCCCCCCCCATTGTAAAACATTTTGTTCTATTTTTTTTCTAGTGTTTTTTAAAAAGACTGTGGGTAATGGTGTCAGAACTTAGGAACAGTTTTGTAATTTTTTCTCTGTTGGTGTTTTATCACAGTGGTTTTCCATATTTCGTGTAGAGTTCAGAAACATGCTCGGGACCAGCAGGTGGTGTGGTGGTTAAGGTGCTGGACACTCCCACATGGTCAACCATGGTTCAAGTCCTGGACCTGGTGGCTTGTTTTCTCACTTTCCCTCTTTCTCTCTGTGGGTCTCTCTTTGGTCAAATTAAAATAAGATGAATGAATAAATAACATTAAATAAATAAAAATTAAAAAAAAAAACATCCTTTTTAGTTGACTGTGCCACACTTAACAATTTCCCCAGCGTTGGTGAGCATTCAGGTTGCCTCTTTTTTTGTTGTTGTTATCAGATACTTTAGCTTTTGCCTACTTGAGGTTCCTCTGTTGGTTTAAAGCTCGTGAACGCTTTCATTCTTCTTGAGACGTAGTAGATGTACTTTTTAAAAGAACTTCAGCTGGTAAAAGTCATCTCTGCACACTACTGTTTTCCGCAGGTTCGAGGTTATGATTTCAAGGCTGATATCTGGAGCTTTGGGATCACAGCGATTGAACTGGCCACAGGAGCAGCTCCGTACCATAAGTACCCGCCAATGAAGGTGAGGCTCACACTCGGAATACCGCCAAGGCCAAGTTCCTTTTCAGGACCACGCTTCATTTGTCATTCTTGCCCATAATGATTTTTTCTCCACTTTTTTTTTTTCCAAGAGAGAGATTTTTGCTATGGGGCTTGTGTGCTGGCCAGAGAGACAGAAAGTGAGAAATCCCCCCCCCCCCCCCGGGGAGATGGCCACACCATAATCCTTTCTCCTCCAGTCTCCTCTCGGGATTTTGGGCAAGCATGCACACATACCCAGCATGAGTTTTAAGCCGTCAGACTTAAAACTACTTGAGAGTCCAGCGACATCTTCTGGTCCCCCAATTTTTTTTATATTGGTAAAATACACATAAAATTTATCATCTTAACTACCTTCTAAAAAGGAATTCTTTAATTTTATTTATTATTATTATTGTTTAAGTTGTTATAGGGCACATGTACTCACCAAAGGGAGGCAGAGAGAGACAGAGAGAAAGAGAAAGTGAGAAAGCAAGTCGCCAGGTCTAGGACTCGAACCGCGGTTGGCCACGTGGGAGTCCAGTGCCTTTACCCACTGCACAACATGCTGGTCCCCTATGTTAACTACTTTTAAATGTATAGCTCAATGGTATTAAATGCATTTTTAATATTATACAGCTACCACCACCATCCATTTCCAAATCCCTTTCACCTGCCATGTTGTAATAAAACCAATTGTTAAGTATAGACCTTGTTATATACCACGTCTTACCAGACTGACACTCATGCCCATTTTACGATAACGTCCAGTTCCCCCTCCCAGCCCTTGGCAACCACTGGTCTCTCTTCTGTCTCTCTGACGTTCGATTCTCTAAGTACCTCATGTAAGTGGAGGCACACAGTATTTGTCTTTGTGTGACTGGATTATTTCACTTACCGTAATGTTCTCAAGGCGCGTGTGTGCTGTAGCCTATTAAAGAATTTTTCTTTTTTAACGGTGGTAATATTTCGCTGTGTGGATGTACCGTATTTATCTGTTAATAGAGGGATCCCCAACCGCTGACCGGTGCTGGTAAATGGCCTGCTGGGTACAGGTCTGTGGCCTCTTAGTATTTCCTCTCTCGGCCAGAGTGGGAGATGGGTGGCACCATGGGAGGGGAGCGGTGAGCTGGGGAGCCGGGCTTGTCCGTGTTTGCAGCGACTCCCAGTCCCCGTCGCTCACATTGCCGCCTGGGCTCACCTCCTTTGGGATCAGCAGCAGTATAGGATTCTCACGGGAGAGTGATCCTGCCGTGTGATTGCTGCGTTGACTGTTGCACTGTGGTCGTACTGGAAATGGGGTGCACGGTGGCGTGGTATGTGAGTCGTCCCGAGACCAAGCCCTCCCAGCTCCCAGCGGTGGAGCAGTTGTCATCCACAAGGCTGGTCCCCGGTGCTGGGAAGGTTGGGGACTGTTGTATGAATACATCTACTGACACGCGTGCTGCTGTCGTGCGTTAGCTCTTTTGAATAGTGCCGCTAAGAGCTGTGGGTACACAGTCTTTCCGAGACTCTGCTGTTAATTCTGTTGGTTATATGCCATCAAGAGGGATCGCTGGATTGTATGATCATTGTATTTTTAACTTTTAATTTTAAGACAGAGTCCGACTGCCGCAATCTCCCTGCCTCAGTCTTCCAAGTAGGGAGAGTCTGAATAGGGACCTAGCAGACTCCATTATGTCTGGCTCTTTCTTAAACAGCGTCTTGCTTTGGTGCCCCAAGCAGCCTTGAACCAGTCCTCCTACTGTGCCTCGGCCTCCCGGGTCCCTGGGATTGCAGGTGATGCCGTCCCGCTTGGTCTTTAGTGTGCTCTGGGAACCAGGCCTGAGCCTTGTGAGGCCCAGCCTGTGAGGTGCAGCGTCTGAGCAGTGTGCGCCCCAGCAGTACCCGGAGGTCTCAGTTCCTCCACGTCCTTGCCAACATTCATTGCTTTTCGATAGAAGCCATCCCAACTGGGGTGAAGTGGTATCTCATTATAGCCTGTTTTTGTTGTTGATATTCAGTGACCTTAATTGGCTTTATTTGTGGTTCTAAAATCAGGCAGTGCAATAAATTGTCCCTTCCTTATTTTTTTAATTTGCATTTCCCAGTAATTAGCGATGTTGGGCATTTTTTCCACACTAATTGACCATATGTGTGTTTTCTTTAGAAAAATGTTTGTGCAAGTCCTTTGCTCATTTTTAATCAGGTTGTTTTTTTTTCTTTCTTTTTTTTTTTTTTTTACTGAGATTTGGGAGTTCCCTGTATATGCTAGATATTAATCTCTTCAGATACATGATTTGCAAAATTTTTTTGTATTCTGTAGGTTGCCTTTTTACTCTGATGATGAGTAAAATGAATCTTTTTTTTGGAGATTTTTTGCTATAGGGCATGTGCATTTGCCGGAGAGACAGAGACAGACAGAAAGCTAGAAATCACACACACACACACACACACACACATAGCCGGGGAGGGGATGGCCACCCTGTTTTCCTCTTAGGATCTTGGGCAGACACTCACACCTGCCTGGTGTGAGTTTTAAGCCACCGGGGTCTGGGACTCGAACCATGGTCCACAACATGGGCGTCCAGCGATGTAACCATTATGCCATCTGCAGGTGCCCAAAATTAATCTTTTGATAAACAAATTTTTTTGGGGTCATAAAGTCTAAATTTTCTGCTTTTTCTTTTGCTTCCTATGGCATTGGTGTCATATCCAAAAAAACATTGGGAAATCTATTATTGTGAAGCACTTGCCGTATGTGTTAAGAGTTTTGCTGTTTTAGGTCTTACATGTAGGTTTTGATACATTTTGAGCTCATTTTATCATTAGGAAAGAGTTAAGCTGCTTTCTCTTTTTTTTTTTAAGAGGTTTTTGCTATAGGGCACGTGTGCTCACGAGAAAGACAGAGAGAGACAGAGAGACAGAAAGTAAGAAATCACCCCCCAGGGGGGATGGCCACGCTGCAGTTCCTTCTCCTCCATTCTCCTCTCGGGAACTTGGGCTCGCATGTACACGCACCCAGCGTGAGTTTAAGTCACCGGGTCCGGGACTCGAACCACGATCGACTACATGGGAGTCCAGCGACATAACCATATCGTCATCTGCTGGTCCCATCATTTTCTAATTTGCCTTTTGGTTCACTTCTTTGTGCCATTGCTTAAGAGTGTGTTGCTTAATTTTTACAGACTTTTGAATTTTCCACTTTTCTGTTACTGATTCCCTGAATTCATGTCCTTGTGGTCAGAGAAGATCGTTTCTATGCTATCTGTACTTTTAAATCTATTGAGAGTGAATTTGTGGCCTAACACAGGGCCTAAGCTTGAAAAACACCCCATGTGTATGCACTTGGGAAGAACGCGTGTGCTGTCCGCGGGCCACGTGTTCTTCATGTGTCTGTCAGATCTTGCAGGCCTCGATGTTCAAGTCCTCTGTTTCTGTCCGCTTCTTCTCTCCGTTGTTGAGATGGGTATCGAAGTCTCCAGCTACTATAGGACTGATTCTGCTTTAAGTTTTTAGTTTTTGCCTCATATGTTTTGTGGTCAGCCACTATGTGTGTACCTGTGTATAATAATTATACCTTCTTGATATATTCAAATTTTTATTAATACAGGTTGAGTATACCTTATCTGAAATGCTTGAGACCAGAAGTGTTCAGATTTTGGATATTTTTGGAATTTGGAATATTTGCATATATGTAATGAGATATCTTGGGGATGCGACCCATGTCTAAACACGAAATTCATTTATGTTTCATATACACCATATACACAAAGCCCGAAGGTAATTGTATACAGTAATTTCGTTTTGTATCATTTTGACCGCAACTTGTCACATAAAGTCTGATGTGGAATTTTCTACTTGTGGTGTCGTGTTGGGGCTCCAGAAGTCTTGGATTTGGAACATTTGGGAGTTTAGGTTTTCAGATTAGGGATGCTCAACCTGTATGCAATGCCCTTCTCTGTTCTATTTTTTTTTTTTTTTTTAGTTCATTTCTTTTATGAACAAGAGACACAGAGAGAGAGAGAGCCCCCCTCCTCCCCACCAGGGTCTGGACACTGAGCTTCTCCCTCCCCGCCAGCCCCAACCGTGGGCTCATGCGTTGTATGTGTACCCAGGGAGGTTTCTGAACGCGAACCAGTGGCCTTCCCACGCGGGCCGGGCTGTTACTGCTCTGCCGCCACCTGCCTCCCTTGTTGCTTGTTTGACTTAACGTCTGTGTGGCCTGTCATTAGTGTAACCCCTCACCCCTGCTTTCTTTGGTCACCGTTCCCTTTGCGGTCACAGGTTGGCAGTTTGGTGCAAGAGGCCGAGCCCGGACGGGCTTTTGCCATGCCTCCTCCACCGCTTAGTCGCGCTTAGCTTTCGGTTTACAGTGCCAGTTGTGTGACTTTCTTTCACTTGAACACCTAGAGGCCACTGAGGGGTTATTTGGCCTGATTTCAAGATTGTTGCAGCCCAGGAAGTAGGGGGGCCTGAGCAGAGGCAAGGAAACAGGAGTGGCCGGTCGGTGAGCCGTTAGATGAACTATGTATTGACTGCGTTTGACATCTTCTGTGGCTGCCATTTAGCTCCCAAACAGTCGGAATGGTAACACCAAAGGTGACTCACCACGCGGTCTGCACTGGCGCCATTGCAGAGATAAGCCCTGTGCACAGAAGGCGGGCCGGCGTGAGTCCTCGCCCTGGCAGCTGGGGTGCTCAGCAGGCCTGATGGGGTGGGGAAGTGGAGGGGAGAGGATCGCAGTGTGCCCGTGCCCCAGTGGGGACTCCTTTCTCACTCTCTAATGAGCACACGTGCCCTCTGCTAATTCATTAATAATAAAAGCATTAATCACGGACAGTCGCAGTAATAGATGCGATAATGAAAAGGTTTGAAACGTTGTGAGAATTACCAAAATGTGGCAGAGCAAACCGACAGATAAGTGAGGGTGCGCGTCGGAAGGTGGCCCTGAGACGCGCTCTGGTCGGGTCGCCAAGACGGCAGTCGGTAAGCAGTGGGAGGGAGACAGAAGGAGCCGCCCGGGTGGCTGGCCACACCACCGTTGTCCTCGTTATCGCCTTTTGGGATTTGGGACACGCACATGTGCATGCCTGGCGTGGTGTTTAAGCCACCAGGTCTGGGATTTCAGCCACACGGTTGGCCATGTGGGTTCCAGCCGCTCTAACCACCATGCTGCTGGCTGGCCCTCACTTACCTCTTTTATGCATCGTGTACCCCAAACCCTAAACCAATAATTCTTTGAAATGTATCCGTTTCTTTGTTTTTTCTTTATTTTTTTAAATTAAGTTTTTTAGTTTTTTACTATAGAGCATGTGTGCTTGCCAGAGTGAGAAAGAGAGAGAGAAAAAAAAAAGTGAGAAATCTTCCACTGGGGGATGGCCACACCACAGTTCCTCCTCCTCCAGTCTCTTCTTAGGATTTTGGGGATGCACGTACACGCACCCAGCACGTTCCTCAAGCTGCTGGGTCCAGGACCCGAACTGTACTCAGCCACGTGGAGTCCAGCCACCTTAACCACCATGCCGTGGACTGGCCCGGCACCTACTTCCATATAAAATTCGAAACGGTGTAAAGACACGCGTCACCCCATCACACCATGTAAATATACCCTTCGTTCTTCTCGCCTCTGTGTATGAGGTGGACAGTGATCAGGACCGCCCGTGCTGCCCCGGAGGCGGGAAGAGTGTCCCTGACAAAGGCAGGCGTAGCTTGATTATGAGGACCTCCGTGCCGAGTCCTGTGATGGAAGTTTCTCTGAGGACTTCCGGGGGGAGAAGGCCACAGTGTAAGAGGTCGAAGAAAAGTAGGGCCGTGGGTAGGTAACGTCAGCAAGGTCACATTCTTAATTTTTCTTTTTTTTCTTTTCTAATGGTAGTTTGGCATAAGAATTCAGACAGGGGACATGAAGAAGCAAAGGATTCTAGCTAAAAAACTGCTGGTATAATGGCACGGTTTCCGGGAAGTCAGCCAGCCGTAACGTGTCATTTATGTGGAAAACACAGACTAGCTGTGGGTTCTACACTACTGATCTAGATAGGAACTTCGAGAAAACTGTTATAGTCCATCGTGTTGATAATAACAGAAATACCTCAGTATATCTGGGTAGTTCACCAAGGCCACAGGTTTACTGAGCTCACAGGTTAGAGGCCAGAGGTCAGGGGTCTCATCTGGGGAGGGCCTTCTCGGTGGTGGATGCAGGGCAGAGGTATCACATGGCAAATGAGAGCGAGCAGAAACCGTGTCTGAGTCCGGGTCTCTGTTCTGACGTCACTCCCTTCCCTTAGCCCTTTCCTTGTAAACCCACCTGCATCCGGTCGGGAGCCCAGCGTGCTGGTGTGAGTCGGTTACGTCCCTGCCCTCCTCCTGTCTGCACAGTGGGCTACCACGTTTTAACATGGGAATTCCCAGGGGCACGTTTAAGCCACAGCAAAACTAAAATCTGCGCGTGTGCTGGGAGTGCTTGCCTGGATTGAAACAGCTTGATGTTGCAGTAGACTGAGCTGCCCTCTGTCCTCGGCTTTACCCTGCCCTGAACATGCTTGCAGGTGTTAATGCTGACACTGCAGAACGATCCTCCTTCTTTGGAAACCGGTGTTCAAGATAAAGAAATGCTGAAAAAATACGGAAAATCATTTAGGAAAATGATTTCATTGTGCCTTCAAAAAGATCCAGAGAAAAGGTAAGCTATAAGATAAACTTGCCTCTATTCAAAACAAGATTTTGCACAGTTGAGTTAAAAACTGAGATTTGACTAAATTTGGGGGATATACTACTGTTAGCCACTGTTTTTGTTGTTTTTTTTTTTTTTTTTTTTTTTTTAATTTTTCTTAAAGGGGCTTGGGGTTAACC